CCAATCTAAGCTTTTGGCTTACATAAGCCATTATCAAGGATGACAATTACATTTCAATATATCAAACAACACACGAACGAAACAATAATGATAGTCTGTTTTTGTTGCATCTCGTATACACGAGTTTGTCGTTGCTTTGAAATTTTTTGCAACGAATTTAGCACTCACCCGCATAAAAAACCCACTAGTACGAACTTCTAAACTATGTTAGCCAATGCCTGGAGAGATATAAAATAACAGGGATAAAAAACTTCTTAAATAAAACACTCCATAATTCCTCTTCCCCCCAAATATTTCTAAGCGAACTGAAACACCTAAAACAAATTTTGGTCAACAATAATTTCCCCAACTACGTCATTGATAAACAAATAAAATGATTTTTTTCAAAAATAAACAACACCAGTCATAAAAATACAACGCTACAAAATATCAACCTATTTATTGCAACCAGATGCACAATAATTATAAGCAGGACGAATTTGCTATAAATTATAAACACCATATTTCTGTCGTAACCCCTGAAAAAACATATGTTTATAATATATTATAGAAAATAGAAGACCGCAAACCTTGTCACTAAGCGAAATAACCCTGCCAAATCTAAACTAGCGATGGCCAATATAGTGTATCAATTTTAATGCCCAATACAAGACTACGTTACTTGTCAAAAATCAATTACCTATATCGGACACACTACTACCTCCTTAAGTAGACGCCTTACATGTCCCCTTTTGAAGTAGAGCGCGATTAATAACTATTAATTAACCCATAATTTACAAGAACCCGTAAGGAAAAATTCTGGTCTGTAATGCTTAAATACCGTTTCCTCTACTATCAACCTTACAATGTTTGGCAGTGGAGACGGCGTGCTAAAGGTTTTCTAAAAATACAAGTCATGCCCAGGTCAACTTGTTGCGCATAGCACGTGACCGCCAAAAAATCATACATTCCTCCGCAAGAACTTCACACAGCTAAACTACTACACACGGAAATTCACAATACCAAAAACATCCTTGATAATGGCCATAGAACAAGCCAAAGCGCTCGGAACAATAATAACTTTGGATAATTTTTATATTCTTAACCCCTAGAAAACGAAAAGAATGTTATAATGCTAGAAAATCTCAATAAAAGATTAATTAAATCTTCCTTGTTTACAATATATATATATATATATATATATATATATATATATATATATATAGGATTGGTGTATACGGAATAAATTCCAATAACTAAAAAATACTATTCTTAAAAGAGTGCTCAATACAGAGTAGAGCAAATGTAATATATATATTACGTGCTAATGTATTAATCCTCTTCTCCCTGGGTAAATAGCAGGACAGACTGGGCTCTATAGCCTTGGATGGCAACTGGTCTAGGAGAAGGACAACTCTGAATTCAAAACCTGCAGAGGGTTGTTTGGGACCTTGTGGCATGTAGTGCACCAGGTCTCTGAATTGGCCCTTCGAAAAGTGTGCATGGTTCAACACGAAAACTTCACCCCTATAATCAAATCTCATGTGCTGCTGTCGGTTTCCTAGGAACTGATTTGCTTGATCCTCATACGTCGAATTCGACGGAAGAGTCAGATATATATATATATATATATATATATATATATATATATATATATATAATAATGAAGTAATTCATCGAGTCTAAAAGAAACCTCAACAGAATGCAGAAAGCACTGAACGGCCGTTTCGTCCTATATTTGGGACTCGGTAGTGGATGCGCACTGCTGATGAGTTCCAAATATAGGACGAAACGGCCGTCCAGTGCTTTCTGCATTCTGTTGAGGCTTCTTTTAGAACTCGATGAATTACTTAATGATAATTATCTCAAATCCTCCTAATAATTTCTATCATATATATATGTGTGTGTGTGTACGTGTGTATACTGGACATAACACATTAATTAAACATGAAAAATCTATATACTTAATTATTTGCTATTTTCAAGCTACACTATTATACAAAGCAAACAACGACCGGCAACTCGTTTGTGAGCGCATGCGTCTACTCGGGTGGCTAGCCAATCAGGCTCATTTGTGTTTGTTCAACACCCACAGAGATCACCTCTAATTTTTACTGTAACTATGCTGAGCAGACGTTAACAGGACAGCAGCTGGTTAACTTTAATGCCTCCAAAACAAAACTGCTCTTTTTACCCACTACAGAGAACCCTCCCTGCCTTCCATTAGAATATCCGATGCTCAACTCCCAGAGTGCTCCACTCTGCGACTACTTGGTCTCACACTGTCCGCTGACCTGAGATGGAACCAATACATTAAATCAATAGCTTCGTCTACCGTAAGGAGAATTGGTTCTCTGAGTCTCGCCAGAAAGTTTTCTTCGTCTGAGTCCATCCTTCAAATCTATAAATCAGCCATTCGCCCTTGCATGGAATACTGCTGTCATATCTGGCTTGTAGCCTCCACTGATCGTCTTAAGGTCCTCGACAATATCCAGAGACGGATATGCAATGTATTTGGCCCTGATCTGGCATCTCGTTTACAGTCGGTCTCTCACACAGAAGTGACGTCGCCCCCTCTGTCTTTTCTCCAAATACTTTCACGGTAACTGCTCCGACGAGCTACTTTCGCTTGTTCTCAAACTGCATGAATTTAAGCGTGCTACTAGGTTGGCATTTCAATCCCACCCTTTCACTGTCGAAACGGTTAAATGTAGCCATCTCTTCTACTCCAATAGCTTCATGTCTCGCACTTCCCGTCTGTGGAACTCCCTTCCTCTTACTTGCTTCCCTGATTGCTATATTCAAATGCAATGTCAATCGACATCTTCGGATGCCTTGATCTATTCCCCGTCCATCCTTTTCTCTCTCACGCCTCTTTACACTTGCTCCCACTCTCTGTGACCCCTTGCGTGCTAGTGGCACTCCCATCTTGCTTGGGGTGAAAAGCTTAAAAAATTTTTTTGGCGAGAAAGACTAATCTGGTATGATCAACAGAGTGAACGTTCAGACTCTCGGTCACGATGACATGCGACTTCGTGCAAACACAACCATCGACGACTTCTGAATACTTTTGTCTACCCAATTCGCTCACAAGGCTTAGGTCAACCGGTGGCATGGTTTTTAGTCACTTTCAAATTACTTTCCGTACGCTTGGATCGTCTTCCCAAGTCGATAACATCAGAAAGTCACCTCCCTCACATATCGATCCTGGTAAGATTAAAACCCGAGTCTCATGATCGGAAAGCAAACGTTTTAAGAACGGTGTAAATAATACACACCGTAATTCTATTAGTTTCTAATAGGTTCTTCTCTCGCACTTCTCGCCTGTGAAACTCTCTTTCGATTTCTCGTTTTACCTAAATTAAAAAAAAAATTTAAATGCAACATAAATTGTCATATTTTTATAAAATCCTGTTATTTTTACTTTCTACTCAATAACTTTTTCTCGGTTACTTTCAGTCTCAGTAATTCCTTGCGTTTTAGTGGCTTTATCGCCTTACTTTGAGTGGAATGATAAAAAACGAAGTAAAACAAGCAAAAGCAATAAAAAATAAACACCCATATCGTGATTTATCCCACTGTTTTATCCGTTACTTTAGCGACACACAAAGACACACAGTTTTTTTTTTTTTTTTTAACAGTATGGTTCACCTTGTATAAGGCCCGGGGTCCACTCGGAGGGTTACATTAAGAGGCAGTTTACGTGAATAGAAGAAGAAGATAACGGTTAACTCTAGACTTGAACAGGTTAAGATTGTAGTAACCGAGGACACGTCATCTTAGGAGTCGTCTGTTCCACAGAGCAGTGATTCGCTTGAAGAAGCTGCTCGAGTGGAACTTACTTCTCATTAATGGGATACGGAGGGCGTTTTGCTTCAATGGGTGTGGCTCGCCGGCCCTAGCCGTTTAGGTTAGAAATAGCGGAACTAAGGAATGCGGTTCGTCTGCGCACTTTCAATGGAAGTAGCGATAGAGCACTGAGAGGCTTGCCACATCCCGCATGTGTGTGTTTATGTATGTATGTATGTATGTATGTATGTGTGTGTGTGTGTGTGTGTGTGTGTGTGTGTGTGTGTGAGAGAGAGAGAGAGAGATTGTAGGGTGGAAAATAAGTTATCATCCACATCGACTAGGAAACGCTTTTGGATTCTATCGAGACTCACTGGACAGCAGATATATTTAGATATGACAACAGTTCACACAAACACACAATTCTTAGAAACGTTCGTTTTGCATTTGCCTGTGGCAAATATCATTCTTGGATTCCGACAATAGCAAAACGAGTGACTTGAAAACATAATTCATTAACTTGAATGGAAAAGTGATCCTTCGTGGCCTAATTTACTGTTTCTACATCCGGTGTTTGTGTTTATGACACCAGAGGTCGCGCTAGTCGCTCTCACATGTTGGCTCGTTTGCATTGAAGTGGAAGAGGGCGGTTCCTTTCTTATCAGAGAGAAAGAACTCATGAAAGCAGGCAATAACAATAATCGGACATTTTTCAACAGGGACAGCCTCTGGAAACGTTTTATTTGTGGGATACCCATAAGCAGGTTTGGAACGTGAACAGGTATTTACGTTTATAAATCAAAACTTCGGTATTTTAAATTATTTAAATGCTTACGGAAAAAAACGATATATAAATTTTTCTTTTACATATCAAGACCAATTCTATGACAAAGTACGAAATATTCTTCGTGTGATGCGTTTCGTTTTTTAGGACTTCATCAGACTTAAGTGTTGTTTACTTTGATGTGATTGCATATGCGAATGAAGGAGAGGAGGCGCTGAAATTTTAAATTTAAATTTATTTTTTTTTAAATATGTGTTTTGGGTATATAGTTTATGTCCAGGCTCTTACAACGTTTCACCTTGGCAGATCTTCTGTTATCACAATGTGTGTTATTTAATGAAAAAAGTGATAAAAACATAATAAAAAAGAAACTAAATGAATTCGGCTTGGTTTGGTTTGTTTTATTTTACGGCATATCAATCTCAATGGGTCATTTAATGCCGACAAGATTTTTATTGCTGGTAATATATTTTTTTCTATCTATCTATCTATCTATCTATCTCTATCTATCTATCTATCTATCTATCTATCTATCTATCTATCTATCTATCTATCTATCTATCTATCTCATTATATATTTGCTTGTTTTGTTTTACGGCATATCAATACCAATGGGTTATTTAATGCCGACAAGATTTTTATTGCTGGTAATATTTTTTTAAATGTATAGCTGGTAATTTTTTTTCAAAAATGTATTCCTGGTAATATTTTTTTTAAAAATGTGTTGCTGGTAATAATTTTTCTTCAAAAATTTATTGCTGGTAATAATTTTTTACAAAGTATTTCTAGTATTAAAACCTATTTTTACACTTTCATAGTGTTTTGACTCTAGTTTGGGGTTAACTATTTACCCATAGCTGGGATTCTAACAGGTGCTACCATCCTGGGTCAAGGTGGACCTGGGAACACCAGCAATTAAGAGGTGGTTCCATGCGCCTCAAAAACTCCTGACCAGAGGTCTTGCTGCTGGGCGTAGTTTATCGTCTTACCACAGGACGCGGATGTAGTTTATCCAGGACGGAAAATCAGTTTGACTCTATAACCAAAACATATATATATATATATATATAAAAATAAATAAAAATTTTTAGCGTTTCTCTCTCGTTCAATGTAAACATCAGCTTAGCCTGAAGAAGCCCTAAAAGACGAAACGCATCATACGAGAATTAATTTTTCATTTTTTCATAAATCTTCCTAAAATGTTTATGAATTCGGCAAGTCACTTTTTTGTACAGGCAAGTTGGTATTTATAATACATCATTATCATAGATTTTATAAGTACATACATAGACTATCTACTGCGTCATGGGGTTTCATTGATGGTGAAAATAGGACATTCATTGCTATAATATTGAATGTGCTCTTTGTTTATATTTCTTTGTTTTTCACCATTCCGAGTATAAATCAACACGATTTTACCCACTGCTCTAATATTAGATTACGAATATCATCAAGTAAAAAGAGTTGAGGAACCCTCCAAGTATTCAGTATCGGGTTAATCAAATTAGAAATTCGATTAACCTGATATTTTTCTTTTCTAGATGCAGTCGTTCGCTTATATTTCTCAATTGAAATTACTAATGCTTCTTCTTCTTCTTCTTTTGTGCTGTGTCACTTCAGGACGCTGGTAATCATGGCTTATCACAATTTTTTGTTCTTTGAAGCTCTTAATAAATTTGTCTTTTTTTTTTGGTTATCTTTCCTAAACTCTATTCTGTCATCCATTTATCTCAATCTTGCTAGGAAGGTTATGCGTTGTTTTCCTTTGTCCCTCTCACCTTCAATCTGTCCGGTTAGTATCAAAATTTCTAAGCCCTCTTTCCTCATTATTTACTCTAGAATTTTCAATTGTCTCTTCCTGATGTTAAGTATAAGTGTCCTGTTATCTGTGCTCGAAATATGCGCTTCATTCGCTAGCAGGCCAATTAGGAATAAAGACAAAAGGAAAACTTAACATCAGAGAACGAAACGCCTTGGTAAAGAAAAGTTTTCCTTTTTTTCTTTTGCATATTGTCTTTTTACATATACGCTTTATTTATATCTGAAATTCTACACACATATCATGAATATATATATATATATATCCAAGTACACATGGAATAGAATTCCTATATATATATATATATTTACAATTTATACAATTTATTTGAGTAAATACTCTGTTTGAATTAAACAGTATTAATTACATTTACCGGCTTGAATATCTGAGAAATCTAAACAGGAAGTCATCTGTGGCTGCATGGTTAACAGCACGCCAGGCCAAATGACGGTTTCCGTATGGGATACAGGTTCGATTCCTGTCGGAGTACACATATTTTTGAGAGATTTCTCGAATATTCGGGCCGATAAATGTAATTAATACTGTTTAATTAAATCAGAGAATTTACTCAAATCAGTTGTCTCCAAAAATAACGTATAAACAGAATATATATATATATATATATATATATATATATATATATATATATATATATTTTATTTTTTTTTTTTTTTTTTTAGATTAAAAATACTGTTTTATTCTCTTCTTGTTTTATATTCCATGCATTCCAGGATCTAGGTGGTTATGACTCTCCCCAATTTCCTGTCTTTTATTACTCTAACTAAATTTTGACCCTCTCCCACCACTCTTTGTCCTTGTTTTATCATTCATTTATACAAACTTATTAACTAGGTTACTGGCTACCCTCCGCTTTTCCTTCCTTCAACAGATCAAGTGAGTGTTCTTTTTTGTTTTAATTAATTCACCCAAAGCAAGGCGATAAAGTCACTAAGATGCAAGGTGGTTACTGAATGTGAAAGAAACTGTGTAAACATTGAGAGAGAGAGAGAGAGAGAGAGAGAGAGAGAGAGAGAGAGAGAGAGAGAGAGAAAAAGAAAGAAGACATTAAAAGACCAGAATACAAGAAGACAGAATAGTGACGTTGCATTTACATTGTTGAAGATCGTCGTTGACAAGAAAGCAAGACGCCGGTAGAGCGAAACGTACAAGAGAAGAAACTGTTAGCATAGAACTTACGCTTATACTGGGTAATTTCAACAGTAAGATGATGAGACCTATCTGCCAATCTAGTACTGCATTTAAATTCGTGAAGTCATGATACCAAAGGGGAAAGCTCATCAGAACAATTGAAATAAAAATATCTGTCGAAAGAGCACAGGGAAGATACCTTATGGCAGTGGAGAAGTTTCTGAAGCCATGATACCAGGAACGATAACAGATATTCGTTTGCCTGGTAGCGGAATGATCCGTAGAAATAAAAATAAATATTATATGTAAGTTCCTATCTGGGTGGTGTAGTTAAAGATAACGGGAAATGTGACACAGAAATCCGAAGCACAAAAGAAATAAACTAGGATTTATTATCGCCTGACATAACAATATAAAATACGCAGATGACAGTGTTGTTGCCTAATAGGCTCACCTCTTTGGTACCTGGACTTCGTGTACTAGATTGGCAGCTAGGTTTCGACACTCTGTTGTTAAATTGCTTAATATAATTGTAAGTTTTATTATAATAGTTTCTTCTCTCTCACTTCTTGCCTGTGGAACTCTCAGTAAGTTTCTTGTATTTCTCTCTATTATAATCTACAAAAATTTAAATGCAACGTCAACGTCATCTTCTGTCTCCTTGAACAATGTTCTTTTTATTGGCCTTTCTACTCAGTGACATTTTCTCAGTTTCCTTGACTCTATTGTTTTTCATCTTCAGTAACGCCTTGCGTCTCAGTGGCTGTATTGCCTTCACTTGAGGTGAAATGATTAATATAAATAAATATATATTATTTCATTTATTATATATATAGTATTTTATTTCGTCTACCAGCCTGCACACTCGAGCGAGAAAAGATATTCTTTTTTTTAATCGAGTTCGCCCCAAGCAAGACAGTAAAGTTAATAATTCACAAGGGGTTACTGGGTGCGTAAGAATTAGAAAGCAGAAACATTAATAAGGAGCGAAAACAATAGAGGAGTAATCAGGAGGGCAGTAGATAGCGATTGACATTGCATTTGAGTGAACTTGAAAATAAACGGAGCATTTATTCAAACACAGGTATCCACTAAAAATAAAGTTTCAAGTAATAAAAATATGTAGGATTGAAACATAATTACATTAATTCTTTATAACACACACACATACATACATACATACATACACACACACACACACACACACACATATATATATATATATATATATATATATATATTTGTGTATTTAGGCAGCAATCCTTTTTATGCACATTTCATTGAATACGACAGACAAGGTGATTTTATTCAATTTTTTTATACAACTTCTCATGCGATCTAATATATATATATATATATATATATATATATATATATATATTTTTATATTTTTTTTTCTAGCTTAAAAACGCCCCAGGCTATCTGGGTGGTGTAGTAAATCAATCCTATATATATATATATATATATATATATATATGATAAAATTTTATATATATATATATATATATATATATATATATATGATAAAATTTTATATATATATATATATATATATATGATAAAATTTTTATATATATATATATATATATATAAAATTTATATATATATATATGTGTGTGTGTGATAATATATAAATTTACATATGTGTATGATATTTATATATTTATATATAAATATATATATATATATATATATATATATATATATATATATATATATATATATACGTATATGATATATTTTTAATGTATGCTATATTTATGGGTAAAGAGCATATGTAAGTAAAAAATAAAAGTGGACACTGAGGACACACTTAGCGGCAATACTCTGTTTTATGCTTGAATGAAATCTTCAGGCCATGTATATTATTTATGTAAATGTTGGTTATAAGGATTAAATCCGACAAAATGTTTTAATAATTTTTTCTATTTCTTATTTAATCATAGATATATGTATATAAATCTAGTAGCAGTCGACTCATTTCCGAGCATAGCTTTTTTCCCCTTATTTATTATATTGTTCCAATTATATATATATATATATCTTTGATAGATTCTCCACAACTTCCAATCCTTTGTAGCTCTTAGCAATGTTTGACTTTTTACCATCCCCTTCCCTGTTCAATTATCCATTTGCACAAGTAGGTAGGGGGTTACTAGCTGCTTTTCTCTGTCTTTAATATTTTCTGTGAGTGCCAAATTTTCTAGGACGTCTTTCTTCATTGTCCCAGAAATTCAATTTTTTTTATTGTCTGGGACAGATTTTTATAAAACTCTGCACTATGTGCGCAATGTCATCGTGCTCTGTCGAGTAAGAAAAAACACAAGATTTAATCTCTCATATGTGACATCGTTATTTATTCGACGTTGCAGCGGGTGTTTGGCTTCCGGATTTTCTCTAAACGTGTATTCTACATTGTCACAATGGGTGTTATCCGGTTTGACCTACGTGTGTTCATCTTAGGCGCAGCTAGGTCTAAATATAGAAGGCGGCCACTAACATCTAGTAAAGTCGCGGATATGCACATGGTGAATAGAAAGTCAACCTGCTGATGTACCTGGCTTCTCTGATAGAAACAGAGTGTAAACTCTATTTAGGCATCATCTGAGGTGAGTCACATAAAACATGCATGTGCATTGGCACAAGAAATTGCTTTGAGATGAACTTGAAGTTTTTAAGCTCCTTTTGAGAAACTGTTGTAGCATACATACGGGCGATAATGTCCATATTCACATAAATACAGTAGTAAATGCTGTACTATGGTCTGCAGTTGGAGATTCGTCTCCAGCTGTGCTGGTAAAACTCAGTGCCTGCGAGCAGAGAGGATGCTCAGACGAGGCTATCTTGACGGATAGTCTCGTCTCGGGAAACAGCTACCCGACCCTGTTTTATACGGGGTCTATGGGGAATTTTTGGCCGAGCCTACGGGCTCGGATACCCCACATTAAATTCGGCCTTGTGCCACATCTGACTGCGTGGGGCGGTTGGTAGATATCCTGCAGTTGGAGATTCATTGTGGAATTCACTTGATTCACTTCTAGCAGTTGACTACTTCTACGCACCGATGGCGAATCTTCCATGTGTTGTTCTTGTCCTAAGTATTATCGTTCATTACCAACTTTTGTGTGATTATTCTATTCAGTAACCTTCCTAAGTCTTAAGTGTTCAATCAATTCTTCAGCTTTGCCCATATTAACATATGATGACTATATACTCATAATAATTACATAAAGACTCATTTATTCATAAAAATAATTTAGGACATGATAGAAATGATCAAAATTCTGAATATCTATCTATCTATCTATCTATCTATCTATCTATCTATCTCTATCTATCTATCTATCTATCTATCATTATGTCAGTTATTCTCCAAATTTTCTTCAACAATTTTTCTCATTGGATTCTTGACCAGGTTTAAATTTGCGTTGAGATGATATATGTTAGCGAAGCTGCTAAACGAACGATAAATGAAAAACACCATCTTCGAATTTTTATATAGAATTTTTAACACTCAATTTATTGTCTATTTTATATTAATAAAGTTGATTCTGAATTAGATATTTTAAACTCAATAACTGCAGTTTTTTCTCATTCATTTGAATTCTTGACCGAATAAAAACAAACTACAAACTAATTATTATGGATAAAAGAAAAGGAAAAAGGATTTTTTGTTAAATATATTATGTTATATATATAATTTCTGTTTATTCTGAGTCACTCATGAAAAAAAAAAGAAAAGAAAAAAAGTATTTATTTTCGCTAAATATGTGTGAATAATTTCCGTCTATTCTGAGCCACTCATTTAATAAAAAGGTGTTTATTTTTGTTAAAATATGTGAATAATTTCCGTTTATTTCGAGTCGCCCATTTTATGAAAAAAAGTATCTATTTTTGTTAAATTTATGCGAATAATTTCTGTTCATTCTCATTTTGGGGGCCATCCTTTTGCTAATAAACATGGATTCTGTCTTCTTGCAGTTGATGTTTAATCCTTTCTTCTCTCCTTCCTTCATTACCTTCTGTCGGGGATTTTGTAGATTTCTTTCTGTGTCTGCTGCCAAGAAAAGGATTCGCGATTCAAAACGTCGGGGAAGGCCGGATTTAGGCAGGTAGCCCTACATATTTCACTGCGAATTTCTGTGACGCAAACATATTTATAGCACGTTTATTTCTAGATTTACATTGTGTGTGCTCTGGAACAAAATGAAACTGATTCGTTCGTTTACGCCGACCGCACTAAAAAGGAAAGCAACTAATTTGCTTAACGTTTATATAAAGATTTGTTTTTTTCTTGCTTTATTCAACACTGAAAGGTTTAGTTTTTTTGTAGACGTCTTTTAAAAAGAAAGAAAGACGTAGTATCGTAGTTGACTGTCATTTAAAGGGAAAAGGCGAGAGTAATATTTTTTGAAAACGAGAGAGAAAAATCTCATGTCTACTCAGCTTGTTAACCCGGTTACTAGCTAAAGACATTTTACATTTGGACGCACGCATGCGCGCGAAATCAAGTTTTTTTTTTTCTTTTTTTCAAACGAAGCGTTCAGTTGCTCCACTGGGATAAAATGGTGCACTCAGTGGAAAAGAGATCAACATATAAAAATACTAAAATGCAATGCTATTCACAACATGATCAGCGAAGGCCTTTCATTGATTGGTTGATTGTGCGTGTGTTTATGTGCGTGTGTTTATGTGCGTGTGTTTATGTGCGTGTGTTTCTCTCGTTGTTAGTGGGTCTTTGTAAACAACTGTTCATTGACCAATGTATGTATTTTTCTTTGAACATAATGTGTTTTTATGATTACATATGGACAGAAAGGTTTCTGCAAAAACGTTACCAAATTTCCTCTTCGTGTGATCACAGGCATTAATAATTTCGTATCAAATGAAGCATGTTTTTGCTGGAAAAAATCTCACTGCTTCGGTATCGGATTCGAGAAACCTCTTCGAATGAGAAGCAGACCTTTGCACACAGTTCGGTCAGCGCCTAAGAGAAGGAAACTTCTACAGAAAACTACGACCTTGGGAACTTACCTTCATCATCCGATGTAAACAATTGATATTGAGTCATGCGTGCTTTGCATTAAAACTTCGCCAGCGACGACATGAGAGTTTTCTTACGCGTCTGCAATACAATTGAAAAGTCCTCCAGTCATTTTTGTTCCCGAAGTCAAGTCATGATTTCTTAAAAGTAGTTTCTATTAAAAGGAGTCATAAAAGTACTAATGTGAATATATATCTGTATGCATCTTGCGGTTGTATAATCATTATGTGTAGTTGAATGTTTAGGTTAATATTATACGTCCATACCCACAGGTAGAGAACTGAAGAGTAATATAGGTAAGTAGGTATGTAAGTATTTCTGTATGTATGTGTGTATGTATGTATGTAGCCGAGTGGTTAGAACGTCAGCTTTCTGACCATGAGACCCGGGTTCGAATCTCATCAGGGTTGATTTGCCAGGAAATAGACTTCCTGATGTTATAGAGGGGCACCTTTGGAAAGTGAGAACCATACCTTGTGAGTGAAATTGGGTAGACGGAACCACTAGCACGAAGTCATCGTAACCGAGTGTGCTGGCCTTGTTCAGATTCTTGATCACGTTAGATAACACGTTCTCTCTCAGAAACTGTAACTAAGGTTTGCTCAGCATAGTTGCTGTGTAAACCACAGGTGGGCTCTGTGGGTGTTGAACAAACACAAATGGGATTGGCTACCGCCCTAGTATACGGGTATCCTCGAATAGGAGTGGCCAGCTATTATTTATTATATTATGTATGTATGTATGTACGTATGTGTGTGCTTATGTGGTAGTATAATGTTATGTTACTTTGCTCGTATGTGAACATACGCTAAATTATACGTATGAAAAGGATTTGTTTTAGAGTTTCATAATACGTGAATTTTTATTTCTTTAGAATAACTGTATATTCGTTATTTTTTCCCTTCTTTTTAAAAAAATCTTTTTTGCCAACTGATTTTTCTAGAATCTGTATTTTTATGTTCATTTGTCTAGAATATGTCTTTTTTTTCCAGCTCACCTTTCCAGCATCTCTCGCTTTCTATGCTCAATTTTCTAGAATTTATTTTTCCGCTCACTTTTCTCTTTCTATTCTCACCTTTCCAGAATATGTCTCTTCCTCTGCTCATATTCCCAGAATTCTCCCTCTTTTTCTGCTCACATTTCCAGAATGTCTCTTTCTATGTTCATTTTTTCCAGAATCTCTCTCTTTCTCTACTCATATTTCCAGAATACCACCTCTTTCTATGCCCTCATTTCTAGAACATGTCACTTTCTCTGCTCATATTTTCAGAATATCCTCTCTTTCTATGCCCTTCTTTCTAGAATATGTCTCTTTCTCTGCTCATATTTCCAGAATAACCCCTCTTCTATGCTCACCTTTCTAGAGAATACCTCTTTCTATGCTCAATTTCCCAACTAAAAGACCCGTTTTAAATCATTTAAATGGCTTCTTTGTATTAAATTTCGTTTTTATTTGAAAGATAATACTTTAAAATCAATCCGTAAAAAGATAAAAACAAATTTATGTCTTTAAATAAAGATTTAGACATTTTTAAACCAAAAAGTAAAACAAACCCATTTCCGACCAATTTTACTAGTTGATTTGATGGATGCCAACAAAAGAGAAATTAAAACACTTTAAAAATCTGTTCCAGACACTTTTTTGAAAGAAAATAATAAATTTATTAATTAATTAAGTAGATTTTTCAAACATTTTACTTACTGTTTGCTTAAAATATAACAAAAAATAAATTTTTCCCAACAGTATATGTCCTCGTCTGTCAACGAGTTCATAGGTCAAACAATAGTTTCCTTACAAACCTGCTCCTTATTTAAAAAAATAAACGTCATAAATCAAATCATATACGGAAGACCAAACTTATCACAATCAAGAAATTTGTTTTCTTTGAAGAAGAAAAACTTTTTATGAATACTGAAACTTAATGAAATTTTGTATAAACAATTTTGAATTTCTCAAAAGAAATATAACGGCAATTTATAAAAAATCGTTTTATTCATTATATGTAATTATAAGGAATTTTTGACAATTTTATTAAATATTGATGTTAAAATATCTAATGCAGCCAGCGATGTTTTTAAATATTTTCATACGAAAATTTATTAAAAAAAGATGAAACTAGATAATTGATAAAAGCGTTATTGATCGTTAATTTAACTTAATGATGCCTTTTTATCTTTTTGATTCTTTTCGCTACTAATGCCACAAAACATTTCTATCACCTTCATGCGTACTTTCATATGAAAATATTAAGCTCATATTTAAAAAAAAAAAAACAAAAATCAAGACATTATCTACTTTTAATAAAAATTTCATCACTTATTAATTTTCTTTTATTGAAAAGGTTATTCTATTAGAAGATTTTGTGGAAATAACTTTCTGTCGAGTTCCAACCTCTTAACTTGTTCCCTAATATCCAAGTAATTTTCTTTATCTTGATTCTATAACATTATTCTAATGTCAATCAAATCTCTATCAAGCAGACAAAAATACTATCAGTATGAGTAGATAGTGATTTTCTAAGCCCGGCTTAGATGTGGCACAAGGCCGAAAGTATGGGGCATCCAGTGAGGATCGAACTCACTTTTCAGTCGTAACTAGATCTAGCAAGACAAGCTTGCTAACCATTACATCACGCCGAGGTGCCCAAGTATGGGTAGATAAGTAAAAATTAAATTTGTGTGGTGACACTGAGAAGGCTCGTTTTTTCCATTCATCGTTTCTTTTTGAATTGCTACTCTTCCGCCAGTATCTGTCTATATTTCTGAGATGAGGTATTATGTACACTATCTACATTATTCGGACTATTGTCCGCATCTTTGTTGCCATATTTATTACAACGTTTCAGCCGTTGTACGCTCCAGCCTTCTTCAGGTGGTTGGACTGTCGAACTGAACCCTTTATTTCGCTCACTGGGGTAGACTGTTCTAGCTCCACGTGCCATGTTTTTAATGGATGTCAGTTATCAGTTATCTCCTGTTAATTCCCCTCTCCAAGATCTGAACTGCCTTAACTCACACTGTTTGGGTCCTGTCACTGGATGTAACCAACGCCTTTATTCACTGTGCCATGTGTCCTTTAGGACACATGGCACAGTGGATTAAGTGGATTGACAGTTGACAGGACCCAAACAGTGTCAGTAAATAGTGTACTCTTCCGCCATCTTCCTTAGAGCCGTCATGAAGAATCACTGGCCAAGGCAAAGATTTTGGAATTTTATTTTTGTTTTTTAATCTTCCATGGAATGAAAAACAAAAAAAACAAAAACAAAAACAAAACAAATATTTGTAAAATGAAAAAAAAAAAATATCTAAATTTATTTTTAAACAATATTCACACTCAAAAATGGTATTAAACTTTGCATTTTTTTTCTTATATACAATATATTTAATAAAAACTGGGCATCGGCAAATTTCCACAAAATAATTTTTGCGTTTTCAGGAATTCTTTTTTCGAGATTTCGAAATATATTTTCAAGGTTTTCACGGTCGGTATTAATTTTTTTAATAATATAACACGTTCGGCAATTTAGCTTTATAAAAATTCTAAAATGAGAAACGGCCCAAATTCACACGTACAGATTAATCATGAGCTAAGTAAAATGGAATATAACTGACCTGAAAAAAATGATTCCATAAAACGAAAAATAAATAGAAAGATTCATTATAAATCTCATTTATCAATGAATAAATCCTGAAAATTTCAATGAAATTGGATAATTACTTGAATTTCATTACTCTTTTAAAAATAGGTGTAATAAAGTAATCGGGAGTAATCTCCTTTGTTTTATGATTACCTCCCTTTAGAGAACTCTTTCCTTTGTAGAGAACTAAAAATTTATCAATTATTTTAAGAAGGATAAAGCAGACATCTCGAGGCGGGGTAATGCTTAATAAGCTTGTCTCGCTAGAACTATTACGACTGAGTTCGATCCTCACTTGGTGTCCCATACTTTCGGCCTTGTGCCACAGCTAAGCTTAGAAAATCACTAAGCAGAATAAAGCTTCCTTAAGCTCTCTTTTGTTATTTTTATTTTCACGTGTCGAAAGTGCACATGCTTTTGGAGATTCTAGTCGTTTACAACGTCATCAAAGGCGATTGACGATATTTAGTTACGGTGTAACCCGGATATAAGAGAGTTGTCGGGACCGGAGAAGAAGTCTCTTATATCCGGGTTTCTCTTATATACGGGTTTGGTCTATTTTATATACATTAACACAGGCTTTAATTTGGGACCAGAGAAAATCTCTCTTATATCCGGGTCTCTTATATCCGGGTTACACTATACTTAGGTAAACGTTTATTATTTTGCCTAACGATTGAAGACTGTATAAATTTACATTTCTGTACGTGATCAATTAACAAATTATGGTTAACTACTTTCAGAAACTAATACGTGTTCAATTCGAAATAACTTTTAGTTCACTTGATGTTTTGAAATCGTTGCCTCTTTCCTGTCAGCTCAAGTTGTTGATGTTTGATCCAGGTAATCGTATTCACTGATTTATTTTCATACGACGATAGATGGGCGCACCTCTAAAACTTTTGACGATCAGATATTGGCAGTTGACCTCTCTTCAGATCTAACACTAACAACTCAGTAGGGAAAAAAAGTACTTTTTTTTTTCTTTCTTAAGCGTTTCACCCCAAACAAGGCGGGAAGCCACTAGCGCCCAAGGGGTTACAGAGAGTTGAAGCGAGAGCAAATAGGAGTGATAGAGGAAAGGATGAAGAGAAGGATAGGGGATAGATCAGGGCATCTGGAGACGTCGATTGACATTACATTTGAATAGTTGGAGATTATAGCTATCAGGGAAACAGGAAAAGGGGAGGGAGTTCCACAGGCGAGAGGTGCGAGGCATGAAGCTATTGGAGTAGAAGAGACCGCTACATTTAACAGTTTCGACAGTGAAACTAGCTGGTTACATTCAATGCCTTGAAAATCAAACTGGTTACATTCCATCACCGCAGATCAGATCCCGAACCGCCACCAGTCACGATGAACAGACGTCCCCTCGAGGAGGCACCGTGCCATGAGAGAATAGTGGCCCTCAAACACACCCGGCCTCAAGCGGAACTCTTATATATAATCCGTCGCTAAAAGTGCATATAAAATGATTGGCTCCCTTTACCGCTCTATTAAGTACCTAACTCTTCAGGCTATCTTCTATCATTATGAGAGCTGAAAATGGAGCGGGAGCTGCCCGGTCCTCATTTTCTAGTCTTGACATAATACAAAAGCGTATCTGGATCCTTTTTGGAGAAGAATTATTTTCCACCCTCCAACCTCTCTCTCTCTGTCAGAATGTGGTGAGTCTCTCATTACTCTCTCGCTACTACTATGGAAAGTGCTTGAACTCACTCCATTTCTTGGTTCCGCCAGGTTTAACCTTGACGACTAGGACCCGTCATGAGACTTACATTGTAGCAAACCACCCACATTCCCTCCATATTCCATCGGTGAGAAGTAAGTTCCACTCGAACAGCTTCTTCCCACCAACCTCTGCTCTGTGGAACTGACTCCCAAGAGGATGTTTCCCCAATCACTACAATCTTAACCTGTTCAAATCTAGAGTTAGCCGTTATCTTCCCCTCCCATCCATATAAACTACTACTTAACGTAACCCTCTGCCTTGAGTGGCCCGCGGGCCTTGTACAGGGTGAACCTTACTGTAAAGAAAAAAATCAAAAGGAAAGTTTCACTTGTTTACTATATATTACTGTTTACTATATAAAGTCACGGTGGCTTAGGAATGGTTATTTTGTGTATGCGACACTAAACTAATACTAAGAAAGAGGAATATTTCCTTAAAACCAACGAAAAGCGTGCTGAGTTACTATATGATATCAACCCGCTTGTAGGATAGCGAATTCACAAATAAAGAGGAAACTGGAGGCAATAGAAAGGAGGTTCTACAGAAGGATACTGACAATTCCATGGACGGAGTAAGCAACGGGAATGTCTTAAAGAAAAAGGTAACGTAAAGAACACTTATACCCAGAATCAGATTGAGACAGCTGAAATTTCTTGGACACATAATCAGAAAGGTGGGCTTGCAAAACTTAACACTCACGAGGCATGTCGAGGATAAGAGAGATAGAAGAAGGTAGCGGGCCATCTATGTGATCAGCTTGTGTGAATGAATGGTTGAACAGGGTGTGGGGGGGTTCGGTAAATGGAGGAACGTTGCTAAGGGGCACAAGCGATAGGAAGTTCTGGAGAGCAATATTCGTCAACATCCTGAAACGTTGCCATGAGGGAGAGGAGGTTTTGGGGATCTGTGATCGTCAACGTCCTGAAGGGACACGGCACATTGGTATTGTCCACACTCAGACAGTCATTAATGAATATATGATCTCCTCTGTGATTTGAGTGGTCGACTAAAAGCAATGGCAAATGTCAGAAGCCATTAAGCTGTCTAGAGTAGCCAGTCAAAATTTTCGGACCTCCAAAAAAAAAAAAAAAACCCAAAAAACAAAAACAAATAAGCAAAACAAAAAATATTCCAAAACTTTTTAAGTCTCAAATTGCAATATTGTATAGCCTCGTTTTGAACTAAAAATGTTATTCTAGTCCGCCATCTTACGAGCTTGAAGTATTGGACACTAACGCAGCTGAGTTGATCAATTATTGCAGACTAGGTTATGGGACGAAATAAACATACATAACACTGATGGAAGAAAAAAAAAAAAAAACTATTTTCTCCAGTAACCATGACTTCTCCATTTTTTTTCTTGAGTGGTTTGGTTGTGTGGGCGGGGTAAGTATCACTTATTTCTGACTACCATCCTCAGACAATTTTTCTCCCTTTCCTCTTTGTTAAAACCGGATGAGTGTATTTCTGTGTGTACCAGGAAAAAGTTATTTTAGGGGTACGTTTTGCAGCCACACACACACACACACACACACACACACACACACACACACACACACGTGTCTGTCTGTAGGAAAACGATGTTTATCAATCTAGTATCTCAAACCATTCGCTTGTCTCGTGAGCGATTCATACCAGGTAGCTTTTCATCGTTAACTGGAGAAGATAATCTATATTTATGAAACAGAAGATGTCTGTATTTTCATATTCACACACAAATTCCTAGAACCTTTGTGCAGTACCTGGTGCAAGGTATCCATTTCTATACCCATATGCATTTACTTATGCATTATGCTGCCAAGGGGACATCGGTAGCAGTTGTTATTTTTAAATTGTGCCACTAATGGATGATTAAACGTTACACAATCTTTCTTAATATAAATATAAGCTGGTCATATGAAACGTTTAGAATTGACAAGTCTTAAGCAGTGTATTCGACCAACATTTATCACCCGTCATATATGTTTTGGTGGAATACACTGGATTGTTCATTCTTTTAGAGAAGACCTTGCGTTTAAAACCCGGATAGTAACGTAGATTGTATTTTAGTGTTTACGTAAATGACTTTGCTCCATATTTTCTATTTTGGAATTTTGTATTTTTCACTTTTTAGTGTTTATACCTCTTTAGGCGCGGCTGTTTTCAGCCTCTTTTTACAATATATTATTTTATATCATATATTGTATATTACTACATCTATCTATCTATCTATCTATCTATCTATCTATCTATCTATCTATCTATTAGAATTTAAGTCTACGACTTATTAAATATAGTGAGATTCCGTCTATTTATTTCACACCGCTCTGTACACTTATCCAACATTTATAAACACTTTTTCTCGTTTTCTTTTTAAAAATAAAACCGCCTTGATTGTTGTCATACACACGAGAATAATTTTATCTTCTGCCTCGAATTTTTCTGAGTCTTGCTCCATTATAGTAATATTAATCAAATATCCTCTTGTTATTCTGGCAGTAAAGGATTTTAGTTTGACATGGCGGAGATAAACTGATCTTAATGCAAATATCCGTGTGCGTATGAAAATATCCGTTTGTTTAGTTTTTAGTTTCGTAAAACTTGTGTGCCGTAATAATTTCGCTCTTACAGATTCCCTTGCCTGACCTTGTGTCAAACTCTACTAAATTTGATAAATAACAACAGGTCTATCTCCACGTGGGTTAATGGTTAGCGAGGTGGTTTAGCTGAATATTACTATTGAATAGTAAGTTCGATCTTCACTAGGTGCCCTATATTTATGGCCTCGTACCAAACAAAGTTAAGCTTAGTAAATACCCCCCGTCACACGAATACTATTACAAGACAAAGAAGAAAAAAAAGAAAGAAGAAAAAGAGAAAAAGAGAAAAGAGAATAGCTAATAAAATGAATAGAGAAGACCGGCGGATGTTGTTGGTTTGCCCAATGACATTTAAAACGAACGAAATTATTCTTACCTTTTAAATCAATGACACGTGCTTACGTAGATTTTTGTTAGTAGAAAAGACGAAGATTGAAAGGTCATTTCAATACAGTTACAGTAAATTAGTCTTGGACACAATCAAGCAATTTTCAGATCGGTCAATTCAAATAACATAAAATAAATAAAAAAGAAAGAACATTCTTTTGAACGAAATCTACATATATATCCATGTCTTAAAAGAGATATTTAACTAAACTCGAATGTATACTTAATAACTCCACGGATATAGTTTCTTTTAACTCTATTAACGCACAAAAAGTGTTGGAGCTGCTAGGTAACCTTGACATATTTCGGAATTATAATAAAGCAAAAGCTATATTAGCAGCAAACCGCCTGCATACGGATAGGAAATGAATTCAGTAAATATGCAAAATAGAAAGGGATATAAGAGAAGGATGCGTCTTTTTACCGGACTCATTCAAATTATACAGTGATGTATCAATACCGTGTCATCTGTATATCTTTCCTGTGTCTGTATCAATACCGTGTCATCTGTATATCCTTCCCGACTCTATTCAAACCGTGTCATCTGTATATCTTTCCGTGTCTGTATCAATGTGTCATCTGTATATCCTTCTCGTGTCAATCTGTATATCCTTCCCGTGTCATCCGTGTCATCTTATCCTTCCTGTGTCTGCTATCAATACCGTGTCATCTGTATATCCGTGTCTGCTATCAATACCGTGTATCCTATATCCTTCTCGTGTCTGCTATCAATACCGTGTCATCTGTATATCTTTCCCGTGTCTGCTATCAATACCGTGTCATCTGTCATATCCTTCCTGCTATCAATACCGTGTCATCTGTATATCCTTCCCCGTCTATGTCATCTGTATATCCTTCTCGTGTCTGCTATCAATACCGTGTCATCTGTATACCGTGTCTGCTATCAATACCGTGTCATCTGTATATCCTTCCGTGTCTGCAATACCGTGTCATCATATCCTTCCTCGTGTCTGCTATCAATACCGTGTCATCTGTATATCCTTCCCGTGTCTGCTATCAATACCGTATCATCTGTATATCCTTCCCGTGTCTGCTATCAATCCGTGTCATCTGTATATCCTTCCCGTGTCTGCTATCAATACCGTGTCATCTGTGTCTAATCAATACTGTCATCTGTGTCTGCTATCAATACCGTGTCATCTGTATATCCTTCCCGTGTCTGCTATCAATACCGTGTCATCTGTATATCTTTCCCGTGTCTGCTATCAATACCGTGTCATCTGTATATCCTTCTCGTGTCTGCTATCAATACCGTGTCATCTGTATATCCTTCCCGTGTCTGCTATCAATACCGTGTCATCTGTATATCCTTCCCGTGTCTGCTATCAATACCGTGTCATCTGTATATCCTTCCCGTGTCTGCTATCAATACCGTGTCATCTGTATATCCTTCTCGTGTCTGCTATCAATACCGTGTCATCTGTATATCCTTCCGTGTCTATATCAATACCGTGTCATCTGTATATCCTTCCCGTGTCAGTATCAATAAATCTGTATATCCTTCCCGTGTCTGCTATCAATACCGTGTCATCTGTATATCCTTCCCGTGTCTGCTATCAATACCGTGTCATCTGTATATCCTTCCCGTGTCTGCTATCAATACCGTGTCATCTGTATATCCTTCATCCTATCAATCTGTGTCTTCCTTCTCGTGTCTATCAATACCGTTCATCTATCCTTTGTGTCTGCTATCAATTGTCATCTGTATATCCTCCGTGTCTGCTATCAATACCGTGTCATCTGTATATCCCTTCTCGTGTCTGCTATCAATACCGTGTCATCTGGTGTCTGCTATCAATACCGTGTCATCTGTATATCCTTCTCGTGTCTGCTATCAATACCGTGTCATCTGTATATCCTTCCCGTGTCTGCTATCAATACCGTGTCATCTGTATATCTTTCCGTGTCTCATATCAATACCGTGTCATCTGTATATCCTTCTCGTCTGCTATCAATACCGTGTCATCTGTATATCCTTCCCGTGTCTGCTATCAATACCGTGTCATCTGTATATCTTTCCCGTGTCTGGCTATCAATACCGTGTCAATACCGTTATTCCTTCTCGTATCTGCGTGTCATCCCTAATCAATCATAAGATACCGTACATCCTTCCCGTGTCTGATCACAACGTGTCATTTGTATATCTTATGTTGTTAAGATTATGGCCGCCAGTAATAAATCCTCGTAGACTCTCAGAATCTCTTCCCTGCATAGTTTGAATGTGTCCGGCAAAAAGACACATCCTTCTCTTATATCCCTTTCTATTTTGCATATTTACTGAATTCAATCCGTATGCAGAAGAAAGGATGTGTCTTTTGCTGGGCTCATTCAAACTATACAGCGAAGAATTCTGACAAATTACTGGCGGCCATAATTGTTATAAGATAAATGACACGGTATTGATAGACACAAGAAACAAACAAAACTCCAGGGAAAGCTATAAAGAACGAAAGAAGAAAGGACTAAACACTAATTGCAAGAAGACAAAATGCATGATTGTTAGCAAAAGGGATCGCACAACAAACAAATTATAAATTCGAAAAATACCGGGAATCAAATAAGTAGAAAGTATTTAAATACCCGGGAAGTATTTTAACAGAACACGGAAAATGCGACACTGATATACGAAGGCGCAGTGGGATAGTGAAAGTTGCCTTCCAAAAGCTAAGCAAAGTATTAAGAAACAGAAAAATTTCGTTCGAAACAAAGAAAAAGAGTACTGAACTGTCGCATAATAGCTGTCCTCCTATATTGCAGTAAATGCTGGTCAATCTCCTCACAGATAAAGAAAAAAAAACTTGAAGCAACAGAAATGTGGTTCTACAGAAGGATATTGAGAATATCATAGGCCGATTATGTTAGCAACCATGAAGTTTTAGAGAAAACGAAAAGGACACTTATACTTAACATCTGGAAAAGACATCTAAAATTTCTAGAGCACATAATGTGGAAAGAAGACTTAGAAAATTTGATACTCACAGGACAGATTGAAGGCAAGAAGGATAAAGGAAAACAATAAATAACTTACCTCGCGAGCTTGTGTAAACGGATGGCGGAACAAAGTTTACAAAGTTTAGGAGAGACAACAAAAAGACAAAATTTATTAAGGAAAGAGCAGGAAATTGTGGCGAGTCATGATCGCCTACGTCCTTAGGGGACACAGCACATAGAAGTTAAAGAATATCGGACTTTAAGAGCCCCAATCTATTTAATCGCTTCTTAGATTATGCTCTATGCACACACAAACACATATGTGAAGAGATGGGCATTCCACATTCCAAATGAATCTGCTAATGGAAAATAATAGCGCTCCTGCCCACGACGAGGCCAGTGTATCGATGATAAGTGGGGGATATACAGATGACATAGGTATTCCTAATTGGGGTAAAAATGATCTTGATAAAAAAAAAATCAACATTCTTCAACAAGTGTTCCAAGAAATAGGACTCAGGATAAACCTTGTTAAAATAGAAATTATGATCTGGAACTGGAATGAAATAAAGATGGGGGCACGTATTTTGAATCCATCATAAATATTCAGGATATGGAATAAGTAAATATAACTTTTGATATTTGTAATATAAATAACCAACAGAACCCTTATTTAATCTACGGGAGTAAAGGTTCTCGTTTCACTGCCCACGTCTAGGGATATTTCGTCTAGTTCTTATTTTTAGTACTGCTCAACTATCGTTCGCCTTCTTTCCACTGAATCCAAGTACAGACTGGCCGGTTCAGGGATTGGACTCACAATTATTATGTCACCAAATTCACGAACCAACAATTTAATGCCCGAGGCTATTGTCACGTCGGCATTCCTGTAGGTTACTCGGATCGACATACAACCAATGAAGGCCGAAGTCCGCTTGTAAATAAGTGTAAATAAGCACCAAAAAGTAATAACATGAGACACAGGAATGTTGATAGACTAGAAAAATTAGCCCTTGTTACACACATTGCCATTTTAATTTCATTCAGATTGTGTGTGAATGCACGTTTGCGCATGCGCATTTTAATTTAATGACCGATCCCAAAATATTTATACAAAATTGAAAAAAAATATCTTAAAAATTATTTCTATTTATTACAGAAAAATTTCCTAAAAGTTCAATAAAATCTTATAATTATTTGATATTTTTAGGGTTTACAAAATTCAATTTTTATTCTTATCTCCAACTTTATTATTTTATTGTTCCGCCGGCGTAGCGATTGACCACACGGAGTGGGACGGGAATTTCTTATTCCAGTGGTTTAATTCAA